CTTGTCAGTCTTCTTGTTCTCAGACACCATTTCCTGCAGAATTTTTCTTAATTCTTGATGTCTTCATCCAGGCTTTTTGACTTCAAATTTCTTTAAAAGTAATTTTTACGCCACAGTTGATCAACACCCTGTACACAGCAACAATGAAAAATTATATGAAAGATTTTACTGCTGAACTATTTCTTAGGTTTTCACTCATTTCTGTTTGTTTTATGGTCTGAATTGATAAAAAATATGCTTTAATCAAAGACTTTTGTCCTGAATACTTTCTCATTTCGAGGGAAGTTTGTTTTTCTGCAGTCAGACGGGACTCCTGAGTAAAACCTCTGACCAGCGTGACTCAGGAGGACAATCCTCTTATCTCAGAGCCTGTTTTCTTTCTGCATGCAGAACTCCTGTCAGTTCAGGCTGTCGGATATCCCATGTCTGTTACGTCTCTTTGTCCTCGACATGTTAGGGTCTCTTTGAAAYACAACCACCCCCACCTTTTTTCCTCTTTATAGCCTGAGCCAGCAGCTGTGGGGTTAATGTTTAGCAGCAGCAGCACAGGCAGAGAGGCAGGAGCTGTAGGAGGAAGAGGAAGAGGAGGGGAGAAGGAGAGCAGCAGAGAGGCTGGGGGCTGGTCCACAGCTGTTGTAGTAGCCGGGTCTGTCGTGGTAGGAAGGCTGCCTCACTCGTCCTGGAACAATGAGCGACATGGCAGCCTCTGCAGACAGCACAYACACTCAAGGACAGGTCTGTTTTAGCTGCAGCGAAGAGGAAACCGGCTTCCTCGCCACGCTCGCAAAGTGACGGCACTTTGTGCAAGAAGAAAAATATTCTCCTGTGCAGCTGGGGAACAGAAATGTAAGGTTGTGGCCTCTTTTTCTCCTCCTCCTCCTGGTGCTTGACGCTTCATTCTGCTGGGAGGAAATCTCAGATGCTCTGACTGGATGAATGAAAAGGYAGAAGGATCAAGGTGAGCTGATGCGGTAATCTGCTTTAGAAGCAGTTTTGGTGGACGTGTAGGAGGTGGTGCAGTTTTCCAGCTGATGTGTTTGAGGGGTCTGTCGCCCTGATGGGACGGGGTTTCTGATGTTGAGATGTTTCCTGACCCTTACAGCAGGTTGGATGTGCTTTGTGTGTGCAGGTTAGCTTCCACGTCCACAGGCTAACTACTCAAACAGCAGCATGCAGGTTATTGAGGCTAATCCAAGGCAGAATCAAGGATTGTTTTGACTACAGCTAACAAAGTGCCATAAATCTGCTGAATGAGTGGAGGACAGAGCAGGCGCTGTGTGTGGATGGATGTGGGGTATCAGAGATGGATGTGTTTCCTCCCAGTGAGGAGATAGCCTGGCACAGATTTAAGAAGCCCCCCCACCACCCACCCCAGCCTTTGCTTGCTTTCATGCAGGGCTCACATCCAGTCTTCTAGGTTCTTTTGGGAAGAGATATTGCCTCCTCCTTCATCCCCTCCCCCATCACCCCTTCGCTCCTCATCCCAAATATTGCCTGTGCTATGATTCGTCTCAGTTCATGGAGCCAAACATGAGCCAGGAAGAGGCACTGAGGGAGCCCATCAGCCTGATTCTGTCTCGCCCAAATCACTCCTCCTCTTTGATATTTATCTGCATCTGTATTAACACCGCAGACGACTGCATGGTAATAATGTCTCTGCATGAGGAAATTGACTTTGGCCTACTTTTCTTTTTGGAGGAGGGGTAGATACAGTCATCTCCAGTCTTGTTTGAATCCTCTGTGTGAGGATTTAGGCTTTTCTCATTGTTTTTGTCTTCCCACCTACACACTTTGCCTTCACCACAGGAACTTCTGTGTGTATGCACCTCTCCAGATTGGCAGATAGAAAGGGTGGTGTTTGACAAATCCTCAGTTGATGTTTTCTGTGCCAAATTCCCAAGAGTGACACTGACGTTACTTAAAACCAGCATCACAGTATGCTGCGCCAAACTGCAGACAATGTTCATGAAGGAATCTCCAAAACATCTGGAAACAGTCGCAGGATTACACATCCATGTCACATGGATTTGGAGCATGTTATAAAAATTTGTAAAAGAAATGTTTTTAAAATAATTGCTGGGTTACCACAAGCATTTTCTCAACAACTTATCAGATTAGTTTAGACATTTTAAAAATGCAATCAATGTGTAAAAATCGCACATGGTGGTGGTGACTACACTGTGATCAGCTGGATGAAAATGAGAATCTTGGGTCATATCTTACACATAAGTGTTGAACAGAGGAGAGATCTTGAACTTATATGGGTCAGGTATAGGGTTGGGCATAATCGTATCGTGTGCAATTAATCGTCAGAAAAACATTAATCGATTACTTTTTGGCACTTGACGATTAATATGATTAATGCCACGAGGCAGAGTCCGCTCGGTGCTTCTCTCTGCTTCAGATATGATGAACGTAAAAAAAGTTCTGTAATTTATTTATATATCAACACAATTTATAGTTTGATGTATAGCCTGAAGTCTGTAATTTTGACACAATTTGGAACAGTTTTTTACGAAGAGCAAATCTTTCCCACTAAATTGGTCCTGTCTAGGACATAAGGGTGTCCAGGGACTCCAGGGGATTAATCGTCAAATTAATCGTTATCGGCTAAATACCACAATTAATCGTGATTAATTTTTTTGCCAATATTGCCCAACCCTAGTCAGGTATTTCAGTTGTCACACAGAATTATTGCTTTATTGTCACATAACACTTGTGACAGTTGAACAACAAAATGTCGCAAAATCTGAATATTGTAGCAGAACAATTTTATATTGATATTGGCAGGGCGATCTTGAGAATATGGCAGGATGATCCACAGACTATTGCAGTACAATCTCAAAACTGTGGCAGAGTGATCTCAGGACTAAGGCAGGACGATCCAGAGACTATGGCAAGATGATCTCAGGACTATGGTAGGGTGATCCACAGACTATTGTAGGACGATCCAGAGACTATGGCAGGATGATCTCAGGGCTACGGCTGTCATGATTAGTTGACTAGTCAAYGACTAATCGATTATTAAAATAGTCGATGACTAATTTAATAATCAATTACTTTTTTGTATTTTTTTACTTTGTTTTTCTCTCCAAACTGATTTGACACCTTCCACTGCCACATCTGCCTTTCTGTCCTTGACACACATGCACAGTAGTGGTAACTGGGGTAGGTCGTGGACGTCACAAAACATTACACAGACTCTGGTATCATGGCTACCCAGCAACGGAGTTCAAAATTGTGGGATCCTTTTAAGAAAATGAAAGAGAAACCTGTGCAATATCTGCAGAGCAGAACTTGCCTTCCACAGCAATTATTTTTAGTTAGCATACAGCTAAAACCTAACGATAGTTATATAATAGCAGCTGCATTCTGACGCGATAAAGCTGTAAGTTTTATATTCAATTAACGTATGATCTGATTAGTCGACTAATCGAAAAAAATAATAGATTAATCGATTATAAAAATAATAGTTTGTGGCAGCCCTACTCAGGACTAAGACAGGACGTTCTTAAGACTATGGCCATTTGTCATAAAAAATCAGATATGGGTCTGCAGTGTGAACGTAGTCACTGCCAGGACGATCTCGAGACTCCAACAGGATGATCTTGGGACAGTGGCAGGACAATCCTTACATTGTGGTAGGATGATCTATTGCAGGACATTCTCATGACTCGGACAAGTTGATGTTGACTGTTGCAGGATATTTTTGGGACTATGGAGAGCATTGATTCAAATATCACTTGGAATTTGTGAGATATTTTCACAAGGTTTGAGCTCCATGCACATATGTGTTTTAAATGCAAATTCGGTGAGATCATCACTGAAAATTGACAAATTTTATCGTAGTCGTCTTACAATTTTTTTGTTGTCAATCACTGTCCAGGATGTACATCCAAATGAGATCCTGGCTTAAATAGCTTTTGTGCATTTCTTCTTTCTGCTGCAGCTGAGTTGCCTTTTGATTCTGGTTTTCCTTTCTTTCTTTGTTCTGACTCCACTGCAGCATCTCCCTGAACCAGTTCTGAAAATCCAAATATGTTTCATTAAATAGGTTGCTTTTTGAACTGAAACCAATGATCAGAATCAGTTTGCACAAAGAGAAATTACTTGTAAAGTGTAGCCACTGATGTGACTTTGCTGTGTGCAGACTGATTGCTGTTTATATTTCCCAAGACCAGGTGTACAGAAGCCGGCACAGTCACACCAGATGATCTGCTACTAAAACCCAGACTGAGTGGACAGATGCTCAACACCTCTAATCCCATTTCTGTTTGATAAGATCTGGCAGGATCAGTTCCAGTCACCTCTTTGGACTGCTTTTAGAAATTAAGAGGTAATGTTGCAACAAACGTGTCAAAAAGAGGCTTTAGAGGAGACGTGATGCGGGATGGACTGTCCCATTTACATTGTAAACTTTCCCTTTGTGCAGAGGAAACCTGATTAACAAGGTTCACGGGGATTCCCAGATTGGACAGAGCAGAATATTTGTGTGGCACTCGATGTGTAGTCTCTGCATCTTGTGTGATCTAAAAAAAAAGACGAGTTCTTAAACACTGTATCTGCTGAATTATTCATCAGTCTTCCTTTCATTACTGTTCACAATGACTCAGAGATGAAAGGAAAGAGGAGAGGGGGGCTGATATGGAGAAGTGGGGGTATGTGGTCTTTGCTGGGCTGGCGTCTGCTGAGCRCTGGTATCTCCCCAGGGCAGTGGAGCGTCTTCCTCTCCTCCCGGTTTCCTGTTCCCTCTTGGAGCAGCTTGAGCCTYGGTCTGCAAAGCCCACCGCAGAGGTGACACTGACCTGAAACCAGCCAAYGAGACCCCCTCCCAAAGTCCCACTGCTGGGGTTTTCAGGCTCTTCTTACAGTTGTGGTTTCTGTCGTACGATTGAAGACACAAATCGAATGGACGAATGTGAGGAYGCTTTTGAAGGGAGGGAAACAGGAAGCAGGAAGTTGATTAATTAAAACTTGTCCTGGTGTTTTCTTGCCCTCAGCTCTGTGATGTTGGTTTGGGGGGACAGAGGTGCCCGATGAGTCCGTCTGCCATCGTCAGGAAGCATAACGAGAGCTCAACCCACAGGTGAGTACGCCCACCCTTACATCACTAAATCTGACCAATCTAAAGAGTTTTGAATTTTAATGATTTAAAAGTAAAATACAGAGAAWAATCAATGTTAGTTTATCTATGATCAGTGCCAACCTTTATAAATCAGACCTACTGATGGCTGATTAATTCATGTATTTATATTTTTGGCCAGTATGAGTATTCTTAGGTAGAAAATCTGAACAGTGTGCTACACCTGCTCCATCTTCATCTTGCTGCATGGTAAATGATGACGATGATGAGTTCAGGCATGCAGTCGACTGGCAATTATTATTTTTACTAGTGGTCAATATCTGCTGAATAAAACAGTCTATTTCTAGTCAAAACTACATTTTTATTTATAATTTGTTGATTTCTTTGTAAAGAACAAAAGAAATGGATGCAACCACTGATTTTATTTTAAATCWTTTATTTAGCTTGTTTTTCTTACTTGTTCAGTTCATAAAAAAGCAGGTTGTGATCGAACAAAACAATAAACAACAGAGTTTAACCCTCCTGTTATGTTTTTTCTGAAGAACAGCAATGTTGTTCCTGTGTCGGTTTGTCCTGGGGAATGTTTAATCATGCAATAATGTCAGAAACCAAAAATGACCATTCAAAACATTGTTGTGTCTGATTATGGACTCCATTACTGACCATTTTAATAATAGTTGTGTGTTTGTTTTCTCACAGATCAATGAGGACAATTCACAATTTTTTTCATAAAAATGCACATTACATTTTTTATATCCACTAAAAGAACCTACACACACCAAAAACAATGGTTATACATGAAATAAATTTTTTTAGATTTTTATTTTTTTTCACATTTTAATCTATGTAATATGTAGATGTGGGGGGAGGGGGGTTGCAAATATGTTAAATGAACCATTTTCATTTTATATGTTGATTATATTTGTTAAAACAAAATGAAAATGTTTCATACTGAAAAAATACTTATAACTATTTTTAAAAAATTTCTAAACGTTGACACGGGTCGATTTGACCTGCAACATAATAGGACGGTTAAAACACACTAACATTTATTTCCACATCACMTTCACTGGTGTGTCGTATGRTACGGCACTTTTACTTTGAAACTATTTTAGTAAAATTTCAACATCATGAGATCTTGTTTGATTGTTTAGCTGTAGTATATTTAAAAGCTGAAATAGTCTATTATAAACAGTAGGGGTGCAACGATACAAGAAATTCAYGGTTCGGTTYGCTTCGATACTTTAGTCTCACGGTTCAATATTTTTTCGATACAAAAAAGAGAATTTTCCATGCCCCTTTARACTTGTAATTTATTTGTATTAATTATGAACATTTGTTTAACCTCAAAAGTACAGTTTTAAATTAAATGTTGCTGAAACAGCAAGTTTCTCATCGGATCTGCGCTCAAAAATGCAGCCTAGGTGGAGTAGTCGAACACAGATCCACTGATCCTTCAWCACAGAGCATCTTCAGAAGACATGTTGATAAAGTAAAATTTTAAAATCTGTATTGTTCGATACAGCACTGTTCGATACGGTTCAATACGGGTACATGTATTGTTGCACCCCTAAAAAAACAGTTGTTTTATAGTTTTCGGCTGAATAAGGCGCTCTGTACTGAATCAAAGTGAAGAACTGTTGCAGCCTGACTGGACTGAGATGAACCATGTTTGATAAAATTGGATTGTGTGTCTCTGGATTTGAATTAAACCTGTTGTGTAACAGGACATGACTTTTGTTGTGAATTTATCAGTAAACGGAGCTGGTTGGATAACAGTTTACAGCTTATTATCTCTGATATGTGAAGAAATGGTATTCCTATCACTTGCTGCTGAAAGCAAATAGGTGATTGTGTGTGTGTGTGTGTGTGAGTGTGTGTGTGTGTGTGTGTGTGAGTGTGTGTGTGTGTGTGTGTGTGTGTGGGGGGGGGGTTACCTACAACGTGTGGACAATTTTCCAAAAAAAGCAGCCTTGTGGGGACCACTGCCAGGTCTCCACTGGTCCAAATGCAAATTACAGGTGTGGGGTTAGGTTTAGGACCAAGGTTTAGGTTAGTTTTAGGGTCAGGTAGGTACCTGTGAGGTTAATTTTAGAGTAWATGGTCAGGGTTAGGATATAAAGTCTAAAAAACATGAATGGAAGTCAATGGAAGGTCCCCACGGGGTCAAGAAACAAACGTGTGTGTGTGTGTGTGTGTGCGAGTGTAAACACACACACAAATATTTCATAAATTACTGAAAAGATTTTAATGAAACTTTCACAACATCTACCGCAGATTAACATTTGCTAAAACTTGGTTTGGCAGTAGTGGAGCATCATCATCAGTACATAATTTGTCACGACATGTTTGATGATGACTTTGCTTAAAACCTTGGTGTTAATTTGTTTAGCTTATCTATTCCAACTCATTTCCTGCACAGAAACAGAGTTTTAACACGTTCTCTTATAAACACTGAAAAAAAGTACTACGTGTACGACTGACTAAATGTGAAATAAATACTACATGAATATTATTAAAAGAAAAGTGAGAGTTTTACTCACTGTTGAGTTATGGTGAGTAGATGCCATCCTGAATTCTGAACCCTCCCACTTTCAAACAGGGAATCCCCACTAGAGGGGAGTTCCAGTTTAAATGGGAAATTCCCACTTCCCATTACAACTGGGCTGCAGCTAAAGTAGCAGAAAATGCAGCAAAACGTAGAATTTACACGGTGAATTTTGCCAACTACTTCTGAACCAAGGAGGTTATACATAACAGCTGGAGTGCACAGAAACCAGGTGACCGTGTGATCGACTGGTGAAGCTAACGGCTAACGCTAAACGGTCAAGAGTCTGGATTTCCCATTACTGTACATGTTGGAAACTATTAAATATAACTTTGTCCTCTGATTAATATTTAGACCTACAGAGTGTAAAAT